TAGTAGTAGTAGTGCGGGTGTGCGCCGCGTCCATTCCTGCATGCAATTTTGCGACGTGGAAGACAGGACGTCCATGCGACGGTGCCAATGACGGCGACGACTCTAGAAGGATTTGAGCATGCGCTCGCGGCGACGCGCGCGCATGTCGCCCGCGTGGTATTTGTTGCACAGGGACGTCCATGCGACGGTGCCAATGACGGCGACGACTCTAGAAGGATTTGAGCATGCGCTCGCGGCGACGCGCGCGCATGTCGCCCGCGTGGTATTTGTTGCACAGGATTCGCGGCCTGGGTGCATGACAGAGCATCGCGAGTGCGCCGCGCGATGACGTGAAATCGCTGGATTTGAGAGAATTATTAAGATTCCTATGGTTTTCCTATGATTTCAGCAAGAGAGCCCGGGCATGAAATTTGTAGAATTTTTGTGAAAAAAAGCATTGGGTTTTTGATGTTTTTATGTTGAAATGCTTGCAAACACACGGTGTTCGGTAGGATTATGACATGAACGCGCGCGTGTGCTCTTTGTGGTATTTTTTGCAATGGATTATCGCCGTGGACGACAGGACGTCCATGTCGAGAGGAAAAATTAATAATAAAAAAAATATATTGATTTTGTATGGTTTTTAACAGGTTAGGATGGGACCACCCGGATGGGGCCCCTATCTGCCGGCCTGAGGGGGGAGTAGGCGTATATTCTAATAAGGAATAAGGATAGGAGTAGGAGTTAATAGTTCTACACATGGTACACATAGGACATAAAATAAGTATGTGGGTTTCTTCGGTCGCGCAATTGCCAAGGTTGGTGGCCCCTAAGAACCTATGCCCAGGACGCCAGGAGGCTGGCGGTGTCAGGCGCGGTGGGGGCGCGGTGGGAGAGGTGCTGCCGCGGTTTTGCAGGGTGGGTGGCCCCTAAGAACCTAGGCCGGGGACGTCAGGAGGCTGGCGGTGTCAGGCGCGATAGGGGCGCGGTGGAGGGGGTGCCGGCGAGGTTTTTTGCAGGGTGGGTGGCCCCTAAGAACCTAGGCCCAGGACGCCAGGAGGCTGGCGGTGTCAGGCGCGGCGGTGGCGCGGTGGGGGGGGGGGCTGGCGAGGTTTTTGCAGGGTGGGTGGCCCCGAAGACCCTATGCCCAGGACGCCAGGAGGCTGGCGGTGTCAGGCGCGGTGGGGGAATGGTGGGCGCGCGGTGGGGGCGCGGTGAGGGGTGTCGGTAAATGTTGGGCCAGAAATTGTCGCGTGGGGGGTCCCAAGAACTGAGCTCTCGTGAGGCTGGGGTGCCGGAGCGTGGAGGGGGCGCGGTGGAAGGCGTCGAGATCCCTGTCGCATAGGAGTAGTCTGTGCAAAAGGGATGTCGCGCACGCCTCTGGTCTCGGCAGATTTTCTTGGGAATCAACGATTTATTGTGTCTGTGTGTGTTTCCCCCCTCCCAAAATGCGAGGGCCAGGGAGGGTCTGGTTCGAACAAGTCGGAGCACGCCAGGGGGCCATTGGACCGTCTTGAGGCCATGTTGTACCGTACTGGGTCCATGCTGGGCCGTCTTCGGGGCATCTTGGGGCCATCTTGGAGGCATTTGTTAGCCGTTTTGGTAAATCATTGGGGATGCCTCAGGCGAAACTGTCATGGGCCGATGGGATGGGGGCCGCACAGGTGGCAAGACGCATGCGCCGGGACTTCATTGAGATCCTTTTGGAAAAAGTTTACGCGGGTAGCACTCGGCACGCCAACAACCCCTCTCGCAACCAACAGGAGGCGGAGGATATCATGGAAATCGGGACATCCCACAACCGTCCTGGGCTATGGGCAAGAGGCCTTTTGGGTGCCTCTTGGGTGCCTCTTGGAGTCTCGTGGACTTCCTTCAGGCTGGAGCGGTCTTACGCCTTCAATTGCCAAACATCCTGGCTCACGACTTCTTTGGCTCAAGGCATTTCGTGCTAGGCGTTTATGCCAGGTTTCTTGTTGATCACCAGAGCTCAGCTGTCTCGGGCTGGACTCAACTCAGCTGGTCCGAGGGCTCCGGATCGAGTCCCGCTCCCGATGGTGTCGGCGACCGCTCGCTCCATTGTTGCCGTCGTCCTTCTCTTTGCGCTGGCTGCCGAGGGCAAGGTCGAGAGCAAGTTCTGGGGATTTCTTGACGACGTGGCGGGGGAGGGGAAGGAGAAGAGCGACGTCACTACCGTGGCAGAGATACTCGAGCACGGCGGCAGCATTTCAGTCGAGGACTGCGGCACGAAGACGGACGTGATGCACGCTTCGCGCTCCCAGTTCTACAGGAGCCGCCTGCAGGTGCGCGTCTACGGTAACCTTTCGCGCAGCGTCTCGGGAGGGACCATCGGCGTGAAGATTTACAGAAACTCCGCTGCCGAGGGGTCGTCGACGGGAGACTGGATGAAGCGCGAGCTCGCATGGCACAGCGTCCCCCATAGTTACGAGGAGGACTTGTGCAAGCACTTCGGCAAGAGCCACAGCCAGCGTGGATGCCCCCTCCTCTCTGGCACGACCGAGCTCCGCTTCGCCATTGACAAGCTGCCGCCAATGGTGGTCGCGGGCTCGTACAGGTTGAAGATAAAGGCTGTCGATACTTCCGCCAGGCAGGTGGCCTGCGTGCGGGCACATGTGGATATCCCGCGCGGCAAGAGCGGCGAGGTATTCCGCAGGGTCCAAGCAGTGAGCGCCACCCGTCGTGGGCGTGCTCTGGAGCTCGTCACCAGGGCTTGCTCTTGTGACTTATCGGACCCGGTGTGCGGCGACGATGGCAACACCTACGAGAGCATGTGCCAAGCCCACTGCGCAAGAGCTGATGTAGCGTATCCGGGCAAATGTGGAGATCAGGTAGCAACCTTTGGCGGGAGAGCGGTGTCGGGCGCCACGGGCTTCGGCCGCGCGGGCAAAGACAAACAGAGCTTTCTCTCCGAGGCGGCGGCCCACGACGGCCCAGGCTGGAGCCGCAGGCTGGAGCCAGAGGCGACGACCACGGACACCGCGGAGGCGACGCTCTACATGGGACCACTGGGAACGCAGTGCAGCGAGGACCAGCTCATTCTGTCACCGCAGATGTGCGAGCTGGCGTTGATGCGACTTGGTACGCCTCAAGTAAGAATTCTGTGGTACTATGATCTGAACATTCCTCGGGGATGTTCATACCGGCCAGGCGCAGATACATGCAGTCACGAGTGGTGCATTTCACAACCGCACTCGCCGCATTTCAGCAGAGCTGCCAGTGGACAAGGGCGCGAGGATCTTCAGCCAGTTTGCGGCTCATTCACGATCACGACAGAGAGTTCCTGGTTCCATTATGATGCTGGGTTGGGGCCGTGCGCTGGAGTCGATACTTCTCATACTTCGTATGGCAGTCTGCCTCAACTGCGCAACCATGATGTCACTGGATGCAAGTATGCTTGTGAGATCAATCCTGAGTGCAATAGCTTCAAGTACCTACAACGGGTGGACGACTCGAACGACACATCTTGTTTTCTCAAGTGGTATGACGCGACTCAGTCGTTCGATAATTGCGCAGACTCTCCATGCGAACAGTGGTCTTGGGATTCCTATGATGCTTACTGGTACTTCAACGGATGTATGCAGCCATCGCCGACGCCAGCACCACCACCGACTCCCCCTCCAACGCCGTGCGTTGACACTTCGGATGGAGCGGTTGGGCCAACTCTGTTCAACCCAGAGCCAGACATGGAGCCTCCCAACCTGACCGTTGATTGCGAGTTATGGGTGATGGTTGTGGCGGAGGCTGGCAGTGCTGTGTGCGAGTACTCCTTCGCTTATGACGATTCCGATTTCACAACCACGGAAATGTGCTGTGCATGCGGGGGTGGTTCAGATCCGAGCGTTTCAACCATGGCGACAACAACGTTGCTCGGACCCTTGGTCAGCATGCCCGAGCCCGAGCCCGAGATGGAGCGAACGACGACCCTGAAGGACTCCGACTTGGACGTGCCGGAGCCAGAGCCGGAGCCCGAGATGTGGTGGACGACGACCCATAAGGATTGGCATTGGGACATGCCAGAGCCAGAGCCCGAGCCCTGGACGACGACGCAATGGGATTGGGACGATACGGACGATTGGGACGACATGGACGATTGCTGGTGCGACGACATTGCGTGGCCAGTCTGCGGAAATGATGGCACAACTTACAGCAGTTCATGCTATGCCGATTGTCTTGGCGGTGGCGTTTGGATGGACGGGGAGTGCGATTGCATCGACTGCACGGTAGTCGACGCGGCTCAAATCCCCACATTCACCCTCACGTTCCTCATGTGTTTGTTGGCGCTACTACTGTAAGGGCTGCGTTGCATGGAGCGGTCCAGATTGGTTCCATGTCCGTAGAGCCTGGGGCATGTAAGTTGCCGCCGGTTGCCTCATCTGCCTCCCGGTTCTCCTTTATTCGTCTCCTTCGTTGGGCCTTCTCACGTCTGTTCTGTTTCCTTGATTCCTCCATTTCGCACGGGGCTCGAATGTAAGGTCAGCAGCGCACTCCGTGCCACGATCGTGCATCCCAAATGCTGTAGTTGCCGCAGTATGAGGCCTGTCGTCTTGGATCATGCCGACCTCGGCCCACTGCGCTGCCAGCTGGGTGGGCGAGGCTCTACGAGGGAGTTGGTGTGGTGTAGACCGAACCCTGTGACCCCCGAAACGCGAGTGGTGTCATATCTCTGTGAGACATCCTCCAAACAAATGTCCAGGTTTTTCCCCACATGCTTGGTGGGGTTCTGGTTTTCTTCTCTTCCGCATCCCGCCCACGTTCCTCCGCCTCCTCACCCCTCTTCCTGCCTCATCGCGCCCGCGTATTCCTCTCTCACCTCCTTCTCTCCTCTCCTCTCCTCCTCCTCCTCCTCCTCCTCCTCCTCTTCCTCCTCCTCCTCCTCATCCTCCTCCTCCTCTTCCTTCCCCCCCTCACCCGCGCGCTACACACGCACGACACGCACATGAGACACACGTCACATGCGGCCGCAAGTCTGCACACATGTGCGCACACATCATACAACGCCAGTGCGTGCTTGGCGTGTCGACGGTATCATACATCATGACGTATGCGCCACATATGTCGTAGCCACATGATACGCGCGCCCACATGCAGCCGTCATGCACATGCACAAGGCACACAAGACACAAGACACGCATGTAGACACACGCGCACACACGCATACCCACATTGAGACATGTGTCCACATACAGCCGCACCCACATCGCACACATGCACAAGGCACAAGACACAAGACACGCATGCGGACACACGGACACACACACACACCCACACTAACAACGCTAGTGCATGGCTGGCGTGTTCACTGCATCACACACCCACGACGAATGCGCCACATACTGGGCGCCCACATGAGACACACGTCCATATACATCCGCACACGCATCACACACATAACGCGTACTGGGCACCCACATGAGACACACGAACGACCAGATAGAGTTCCGCACGCATCGTACACATGACACGCGCACCACACGACACAGGCGCACAATAATCGCAAGGCGTCGCAGGCGTGGCACTTTCTCCAAACCACCGGGTGTGCTCAGAGGGTGGTTCCTCACGGCGGCCCCTATGCGTGCCAGGGTCTGAGAGCGTGGCAGGCGTGGCATTTTCTCGACACCAGAAAGGGGGTGCGCTGGGGGTGGTCCTTCAGGGAGGCCTCTATCCGTTCCAGGGTCTGAGAGCGTAGCAGGCGTGGCACTTTCTCGACACCACAGGGGGTGCGCAGGAGGTGGTCCATCACGGCGGCCCCTATGCGTGCCAGGGTCTGAAAGCGTGGCAGGCGTGGCACGTTCTTGACACCATAGGGGGTGCGCTAGGGGTGGTCCCTCAGGGCGGCCTCTATGCGTGCCAGGTTCTGAGAGCGTGGCAGGCGTGGCACGTTCTTGACACCATAGGGGGTGCGCCAGGGATGGTCCCTCAGGGCGGCCTCTATGCGTGCCAGGGTCTGAGAGCGTGGCAGGCGTGGCACTTTCTTGACACCATAGGGGTTGCGCAGGAGGTGGTCCCTCACGGCGGCCCCTATGCGTGCCAGGGTCTGAGAGCGTGGCAGGCGTGGCACTTTCTTGACACCATAGGGGTTGCGCAGAGGGTGGTCCCTCACCGCGGCCCCTATGCGTGCCAGGGTCGGATAGCGTGGCAGGCGTGGCACTTTCTCGACACCAGGGGGGATGCGCAGGAGGTGGTCCCTCACGGCGGCCCCGATGCGTGCCAGGGTCTGAGAGCGTGGCAGGCGTGGCACTTCCTCGACACCACAGGGGGTGCGCTGGGGAGGGTCTCCCTATCCGTTTCGGGCTCGCAAAGCCTGGCATGCGTGCCACTTCCTCGACACCACATGGAGTACGCTGGAAGTGTTCTCCATGTCTGTCTCGGGCTCGCAAGGCGTGGCAGGCGCGGCACTTCCTCGACACCTCAAGAACTGCGCTGGGGGGGGGGTCCCTATCCGTTCCGGGCTCGCACAGCGTGGCAGGCGTGGCAGTTCGTCGACACCACATGGAGTGCGCTGGAGGTGGTCTCCCAAGCCGTTCCGGGCTCGCAGAGCCTGGCAGGCGTGCCACTTCTTCGACACCACATTGAGTACGCTGGGGGTGGTCTCCCTATCCGTCTCGGGCTCGCAAAGCGTGGCAGGCGTGGCACTTCCTCGACACCACAAGTGGGGGCGCTGGGGGTGGTCTCCCTATCCGTTTCGGGCTCGCAGCGTGGCAGGCGTGGCAGCTCCTCGACACCACAGGAGGCGCGCTGGGGGTAGTCTCCCTATCCGTTTCGGGCTCGCAAAGCCTGGCTCGACACCACAGGGAGTGCGGTGGGGGTGGTCTTCCTATCGTTTGCCACGCTCGCAAAGCGTGGCAGGCGTGGCAGTTCCTCGACACCACAGGGAGTTCGTTAGGGGTGGTCTCCCTATCCGCTTCGGGCTCGCCGAGTGTGGCAGGCGTGGATTTCCTCGACAGCACAGGGGGTGCGCTGGGGGCCAGGGGTGGTCTCCCTATCCGTTTCGGGCTCGCACAGCGTGGCAGGCTTGGCAGTTCCTCGACACCACAGGGAATGCGCTGGGATCGGCCCCCTTATCCGCTTCGGGCTCGCAGCGTGGCAGGCGTGGCAGTTCCTCGACACCACAGGGGGTGCGCTGGGGGTGGTTTCCCTATCCGCTTCGGGCTCGCACAGCGTGGCAGGCGTGGCACTTCCTCGACACTACAAGGGTAGTTCTTGAGCGCGGCATCGACTCTTTGCGCGACGTCAAGGCCCAGCCAGCTGGTGGGGTCAAATTGGCTCTTAGCCAGTAGCGCCCAAGCTTTTACCGTTTCTGGATTCCCTCAGGGCGCTCAGGCCCCCAAAGCTTGACCAGCGGGTGCCACCAACGATATCGGCGAAGCAACGGCCACCTGCATCATTCTCGCAAGTTTCACGTCATCTGTCATCACGCCCAACATTTTATAAGTATGTGGGGTTCTTCGGTAGCGTAATTTTGGTCAAGAGTTGTTTGGCCCAGCAGCAGCAGCGGCTAAAAGAAGTGGACAGTTGCCGACAGCGATGACGGGACGATGAGGGCCAGCCCCCCCCTTAAATTTCTAGGGGGGTCGCGTGGGCTTGGCGGAGTTGCAGGCCACTGTGGGCAAGGAAAGGTGCTTCCCCATTCTGCGCCATGTGCGCGGGGAGCCACAACAGAATGTGTTCGGGGCCTCTTTGCCAGGGGGCTGTCTGTCGGGGCGCCAGTGAGTCTGGCAACACTCGAGCCCACGTTCTCCTACTGTTGGAAGGACTGGACCCCCAGTGCCGAATTTGCTGGACTCCCGGCTCTGACTGGCAAGGGGGCGAGGTCCTCACTCCGACATGAAGGGATCGCTCCCACCCATCATTCCGCACGCCCCCACACTGCAGGAGGCGCTTCGTTTTTTTTGTCGGCCCCCTCCCCGTCCACCGGGCCAGGGCGGAGGCGCCGTGGGGCCGGAGGCCCACCGCGCCTCGAGCAGGACGAGGGCGCGGGCGGCGATGCTGATGCTCATGTAGGCGTCGACGCGGGCGCATTCTTGTCAGTCTTCCGAGTCGGAGTTGGAGGACGTGCAGTCAGGCACCCCTTCTTGGCTCGTGTGGCGCCTTGTGTTTTAGAGCCGCGCGGGAGCGCTCCTGCCCCCCCTCAGCCCCCGTCCTCTCGCTGCCTTCGCCCCTGCTTCCCGCTCGTTGCGCCTCCTCCGCTTGCGTTCGTGCCCGTCCAACAAAAGTCCCAAACATTGTGTGGTGTTGGGTCCTCGGTTTGAAGAGACAGCGCCCCGCGTCACCTCACCTGCCTCACGCTGCCCCCTCCTCCCACCCCTGCCTCTGCCCTCCGCGTGTCCACTTCGGCACTTCGTAGCCCCTCAGGAGCTCCCACTAAGGTCCCAGGGGGGGGACCACGTGCGGCCCCCCGGCCATTTCGGCACACCCCTTACCCGCTTCGTGGCCCCATCAGTGGCCCCAACTAAGGCCCAGGGGGGAGGGGTATCGCATGCGGTCGCCCAGCCGATTTCGGCGCACCTCTCGCGCGCTTCGTGGCCCCATAGGGTGCTCCAACTGAGGCCCAGTGGCACAGCTCGCATGCGTCCCCAGGCCCACGTTGGCGCACCACTCACACGCTGCGTGGCCCCATAGGGAGCTCCACGGGAGGCCACAGTGGCAGCCGCTAAAAGAAGTGGACAGTTGCCGACGACAGCGATGACGGGACGATGAGGGCCAGCCCCCCCTGAAATTTCTGGGGGCCACGTGGGCCTGGCGGAGTTGCAGGCCAGTGTGGGCAAGGAAAGGTGCTTCCCCATTCTGCGCCATGTGCGCGGGGAGCCACAACAGAATGTGTTCGGGGCCTCTTGGCAAGGGGGGCTGTCTGTCGGGGCTCCAGGGAGTCTGGCAACACTCGAGCGCACGTTCTCTTACTGTTGGAAGGACTGGACCCCCAGTGCCGAATTTGCTGGACTCCCGGCTCTGACTGGCAAGGGGGCGAGGTCCTCATTCCGACATGAAGGGATCGCTCCGCCCATCATTCCGCACGCCTCCACACTGCAGGAGCCGCTTCGTGTTTTTTTTTTCCCCAACCATCATGTGGTGTTGGGTCCTCGTTTTGAAGAGACAGCGCCCCGCGTCTCACCTCCCGCTGCCCTCCTCTCTTCTCCCATCATCGTCATCATCATCATCATCATCATCATCATCATCATCATCGTCATCATCACCACTAGCATCATCATCGTCATCATCATCGCCATGGCCATTAGTTTCCAACCATCCTGTGGTGTTCGCATGGCGGCCCCGCCCCATTCTGGCGCACCCCTCACACGGTTCGTGGCCCCATAGGGAGCTCCACCGAAGGCCCCAGTGGCTGCGTTCGCATGGCGGCCCCGCCCCATTTCTGGCGCACCCCTCACACGGTTCGTGGCCCCATAGGGAGCTCCACCGAAGGCCCCAGTGGCTGCGTTCGCATGCGGCCCCCCCCATTCTGGCGCACCCCTCACACGGTTCGTGGCCCCATAGGGAGCTCCACCGAAGCCCCAGTGGCTGCGTGTGGCACACCCCTCACACGCGTGGCCCCATCGCATGGCCGCCCCGCCCCATTCTGGCGCACCCCTCACACGGTTCGTGGCCCATAGGGAGCTCTGGGCTGTTCGCATGGCGCCCCCCGCCCCATTCTGTGCGCACCCCTCACACGGTTCGTGGCACCATAGGGAGCTCCACCGAAGGCCCCAGTGGCTGCGTTCGCATGGCGGCCCCGCCCCATTCTGGCGCACCCCTCACACGGTTCGTGGCCCCATAGGGAGCTCCACCGAAGGCCCCAGTGGTTGCGTTCGCATGGCGGCCCCGCCCCATTTCGGCGCACCCCTCACGAGGAGGTGGCCCCATAGGGAGCTCCACCGAAGGCCCCAGTGGCTGCGTTCGCATGGCGGCCCCGCACCCATCGTCTAGGCTCCACCGCAGTGGCCCGCTCACACCCCTCACACGGTTCGTGGCCCCATAGGGAGCTCCACCGAAGGCCCCAGTGGCTGCGTTCGCATGGCGGCCCCGCCCCATTCTGGCGCACCCCTCACACGGTTCGTGGCCCATAGGGAGCTCCACCGAAGGCCCCAGTGGCTGCGTTCGCATGGCGGCCCCGCCCCATTCTGGCGCACCCCTCACACGGTTCGCGGCCCCATAGGGGGTTCAACCGAGGGCCCCAGTGGCAGGCTTCGCATGGCGGCCCCGCCCCAATCTGGCGCACCCCGCACGAGGATCGCGGCCCCATAGGGAGCTCCACCGAAGGCCCCAGTGGCAGGGTTCGCATGGCGACCCCGCCCCATGTCGGCGCACCCCTCACGAGGATCGTGGCCCTGTGGGGAGCTCCACCGAAGGCCCCAGTGGCAGGGTTCGCATGGCGGCCCCGCCCCATGTCGGCGCACCCCTCACGAGAATCGTGGCCCCATAGGAAGCTCCACCGAAGGCGCCAGTGGCAGGGTTCGCTTGGCGGCCCCGCCCCTTTTCGGCACACCCCTCACACGGTTCGTGACCTCATAGGGAGCTTCACCGAAGGCGCCAGTGGCAGGGTTCGCATGACGGCCCCGCCCCATGTCGGCACACCCCTCACGAGGATCGGAGTAATCATTTTTTGTCAGAGCTCCGGGGCCCGAAGGCGGACCCAGGGGGCCGAGATCGAAGGCCAGAGGCGAGCCCACACAGGCGCCGGGCACTGAAACCACTCAGAGCGAGGCGTGCAAATTTCGCATTCGTGCAAATTACATCACTCGCGCGCAGACCCATTCACACTCAGACTCACTCGCGCTCTGACTCACCTGCGTTCATTCTCTCGTAATCAGACCCATCGTATTCCTTTGCGTTGTGTGCCCCGCCACATTTCGGCACCCCCCTCATACGGTTCTGGGCCCTATGGGGAGCGCCACCGAAGAAGATACTCACAATTGCGGTACTCACAACTGCATATGGTTGGGTCCTTCGCCAGGATATTTTTTTTTTGTCGGCCCCCTCCCCGTCCACCGGGCCAGGGCGGAGGCGCCGTGGGGCCGGAGGCCCACCGCGCCTCGAACAGGACGAGGGCGCGGGCGGCGATGCTGATGCTCATGTAGGCGTCGACGCGGGCGCGTTCTTGTCAGTCTTCCGAGTCGGAGTTGGAGGACGTGCAGTCTGGCACCCCTTCTTGGCTCGTGTGGCGCCTTGTGTTTTAGAGCCGCGCGGGAGCGCTCCTGCCCCCCTCAGCCCCCGTCCTCTCGCTGCCTTCGTCCCTGTTTCCCGCTCGTTGCGCCTCCTCCGCTTGCGTTCGTGCCCGTCCAACAAAAGTCCCAAACATTGTGTGGTGTTGGGTCCTCGGTTTGAAGAGACAGCGCCCCGCGTCACCTCACCTGCCTCACGCTGCCCCCTCCTCCCACCCCTGCCTCTGCCCTCCGCATGTCCACTTCGGCACTTCGTAGCCCCTCAGGAGCTCCCACTAAGGTCCCAGGGGGGGGGGACCACGTGCGGCCCCCCGGCCATTTTGGCACACCCCTCACCCGCTTCGTGGCCCCATCAGTGGCCCCAACTAAGGCCCAGGGGGGAGGGGTATCGCATGCGGCCGCCCAGCCGATTTCGGCGCACCTCTCACGCGCTTCGTGGCCCCATAGGGTGCTCCAACTGAGGCCCAGTGGCACAGCTCGCATGCGTCCCCAGGCCCACGTTGGCGCACCACTCACACGCTGCGTGGCCCCATAGGGAGCTCCACGGGAGGCCACAGTGGCAGCCGCTAAAAGAAGTGGACAGTTGCCGACGACAGCGATGACGGGACGATGAGGGCCAGCCCCCCCTGAAATTTCTGGGGGCCACGTGGGCCTGGCGGAGTTGCAGGCCAGTGTGGGCAAGGAAAGGTGCTTCCCCATTCTGCGCCATGTGCGCGGGGAGCCACAACATAATGTGTTCGGGGCCTCTTGGCAAGGGGGGCTGTCTGTCGGGGCTCCAGGGAGTCTGGCAACACTCGAGCGCACGTTCTCTTACTGTTGGAAGGACTGGACCCCCAGTGCCGAATTTGCTGGACTCCCGGCTCTGACTGGCAAGGGGGCGAGGTCCTCATTCCGACATGAAGGGATCGCTCCGCCCATCATTCCGCACGCCTCCACACTGCAGGAGGCGCTTAGTTCCCAACCATCCTGTGGTGTTGGGTCCTCGTTTTGAAGAGACAGCGCCCCGCGTCTCACCTCCCGCTGCCCTCCTCTCTTCTCCCATCATCGTCATCATCATCATCATCATCATCATCATCATCATCATCATCATCATCATCATCATCATCATCATCATCATCATCGTCATCATCACCACTAGCATCATCATCGTCATCATCATCGCCATGGCCATTAGTTTCCAACCATCCTGTGGTGTTCGCATGGCGGCCCCGCCCCATTCTGGCGCACCCCTCACACGGTTCGTGGCCCCATAGGGAGCTCCACCGAAGGCCCCAGTGGCTGCGTTCGCATGGCGGCCCCGCCCCATTCTGGCGCACCCCTCACACGGTTCGTGGCCCCATAGGGAGCTCCACCGAAGGCCCCAGTGGCTGCGTTCGCATGGCGGCCCCGCCCCATTCTGGCGCACCCCTCACACGGTTCGTGGCCCCATAGGGAGCTCCACCGAAGGCCCCAGTGGCAGGGTTCGCATGGCGGCCCCGCCCCATTTTGGCGCACCCCTCACACGGTTCGTGGCCCCATAGGGAGCTCCACCGAAGGCCCCAGTGGCAGGGTTCGCATGGCGGCCCCGCCCCATTTTGGCGCACCCCTCACACGGTTCGTGGCCCCATAGGGAGCTCCACCGAAGGCCCCAGTGGCTGCGTTCGCATGGCGGCCCCGCCCCATTTGGCGCACCCCTCACACGGTTCGTGGCACCCCTCCCCACTGAGGGCGGCCCCGCCCCATTTCGTGGCCCCATAGGGAGAACGAGGCTTGGCTGCGTTCGCTCCACCGAAGGCCCCAGTGGCTGCGTTCGCATGGCGGCCCCGCCCCATTCTGGCGCACCCCTCACACGGTTCGTGGCCCCATAGGGAGCTCCACCGAAGGCCCCAGTGGCTGCGTTCGCATGGCGGCCCCGCCCCATTCTGGCGCACCCCTCACACGGTTCGCGGCCCCATAGGGGGTTCAACCGAGGGCCCCAGTGGCAGGCTTCGCATGGCGGCCCCGCCCCAATCTGGCGCACCCCGCACGAGGATCGCGGCCCCATAGGGAGCTCCACCGAAGGCCCCAGTGGCAGGGTTCGCATGGCGACCCCGCCCCATGTCGGCGCACCCCTCACGAGGATCGTGGCCCTGTGGGGAGCTCCACCGAGGGCGCCAGTGGCAGGGTTCGCATGGCGGCCCCGCCCCATGTCGGCGCACCCCTCACGAGAATCGTGGCCCCATAGGAAGCTCCACCGAAGGCGCCAGTGGCAGGGTTCGCTTGGCGGCCCCGCCCCTTTTCGGCACACCCCTCACACGGTTCGTGACCTCATAGGGAGCTTCACCGAAGGCGCCAGTGGCAGGGTTCGCATGACGGCCCCGCCCCATGTCGGCACACCCCTCACGAGGATCGGAGTAATCATTTTTTGTCAGAGCTCCGGGGCCCGAAGGCGGACCCAGGGGGCCGAGATCGAAGGCCAGAGGCGAGCCCACACAGGCGCCGGGCACTGAAACCACTCAGAGCGAGGCGTGCAAATTTCGCATTCGTGCAAATTACATCACTCGCGCGCAGACCCATTCACACTCAGACTCACTCGCGCTCTGACTCACCTGCGTTCATTCTCTCGTAATCAGACCCATCGTATTCCTTTGCGTTGTGTGCCCCGCCACATTTCGGCACCCCCCTCATACGGTTCTGGGCCCTATGGGGAGCGCCACCGAAGAAGATATTCACAATTGCGGTACTCACAACTGCATATGGTTGGGTCCTTCGCCAGGATAATTTTTTTTTGTCGGCCCCCTCCCCGTCCACCGGGCCAGGGCGGAGGCGCCGTGGGACCGGAGGCCCACCGCGCCTCGAGCAGGACGAGGGCGCGGGCGGCGATGCTGATGCTCATGTTGGCGTCGACGCGGGCGCATTCTTATCATTCTTCCGAATCGGAGTTGGAGGACGTGCAGTCTGGCACCCCTTCTTGGCTCGTGTGGCGCCTTGTGTTTTAGAGCCGCGCGGGAGCGCTCCTGCCCCCCCTCAGCTCCCTCCCTTCGCTGCCTTCGTCCCTGCTTCCCGCTCGTTGCGCCTCCTCCGATTGCGTTCGTGCCCGCCCAAAAGTCCCAAACATTGCGTGGTGTTGGGTCCTCGGTTTGAAGAGACAGCGCCCCGCGTCACCTCACCTGCCTCACGCTGCCCCCTCCTCCCACCCCTGCCTCTGCCCTCCGCATGTCCACTTCGGCACTTCGTAGCCCCTCAGGAGCTCCCACTAAGGTCCCAGGGGGGGGACCACGTGCGGCCCCCCGGCCATTTCGGCACACCCCTTACCCGCTTCGTGGCCCCATCAGTGGCCCCAACTAAGGCCCAGGGGGGAGGGGTATCGCATGCGGTCGCCCAGCCGATTTCGGCGCACCTCTCACACGTTTCGTGGCCCCATAGGGTGCTCCAACTGAGGCCCAGTGGCACAGCTCGCATGCGTCCCCAGGCCCAAGTTGGCGCACCACTCACACGCTGCGTGGCCCCATAGGGAGCTCCACGGGAGGCCACAGTGGCAGCCGCTAAAAGAAGTGGACAGTTGCCGACGACAGCGATGACGGGACGATGAGGGCCAGCCCCCCCTGAAATTTCTGGGGGTCACGTGGGCCTGGCGGAGTTGCAGGCCACTGTGGGCAAGGAAAGGTGCTTCCCCATTCTGCGCCATGCCTCTTTGCCAGGGGGCTGTCTGTCGGGGCTCCAGTGAGTCTGGCAACGCTCGAGCGCACGTTCTCCTACTGTTGGAAGGACTGGACCCCCAGTGCTGAATTTGCTGGACTCCCGGCTCTGACTGGCAAGGGGGCGAGGTCCTCATTCCGACATGAAGGGATCGTTCCCACCCATCATCCCGCACGCCTCCACACTGCAGGAGGCGCTTCGTTTTTTTTCTTTTGTTTTTTTGTCGAACCCCTCTCCGTCCACCGGGCCAGGGCGGAGGCGCCGTGGGGCCGGAGGCCCACCGCGCCTCGAGCATGACGAGGGCGCGGGCGGCGATGCTGATGCTCATGTTGGCGTCGACGCGGGCGCATTCTTATCATTCTTCCGAATTTGAGTTGGAGGACGTACAGTCAGGCATCCCTTCTTGGCTCGTGTGGCGCCTTGTGTTTTAGAGCCGCGCGGGAGCGCTCCTGCCCCCCCTCAGCCCCCTCCCCTCGCTGCCTTCGCCCCTGCTTCCCGCTCGTTGCGCCTCCTCCGCTTGCGTTCGTGCCCGTCCAACAAAAGTCCCAAACATTGTGTGGTGTTGGGTCCTCGGTTTGAAGAGACAGCGCCCCGCGTCACCTCACCTGCCTCACGCTGCCCCCTCCTCCCACCCCTGCCTCTGCCCTCCGCATGTCCACTTCGGCACTTCGTAGCTCCTCAGGAGCTCCCACTAAGGTCCCAGGGGGGGGGACCACGTGCGGCCCCCCGGCCATTTCGGCACACCCCTTACCCGCTTCGTGGCCCCATCAGTGGCCCCAACTAAGGCCCAGGGGGGAGGGGTATCGCATGCGGTCTCCCGGCCGATTTCGGCTCACCTCTCGCACGTTTCGTGGCCCTATAGGGTGCTCCAACTGAGGCCCAGTGGCACAGCTCGCATGCGCCCCCAGGCCCAAGTTGGCGCACCACTCACATGCTGCGTGGCCCCATAGGGAGCTCCACGGGAGGCCGCAGTGGCAGCGCCAGCATGCGTCCCCAGGCCCATACCGGGACAGCCCTCACACATTTCGAGGCCCCATAGGGAATTCCACCGATGGCCACAATGGCAGCGCCCGCATGCGTCCCGAAGGCCCATTCCGGCACAATCCTCACAGTGACGTTTCGTTGGCCCTATAGGAAGGTCCTCCGAAGGCCCCAGTGGCAGGGCCCGCATGCGGCCACAGGATAATTTTTTGCCGTTTGCTGGACAGCCGTATGTATCAGAGGGCGTCGACGATGGAGATGATGGGAATGGGGATGGCGGTGGGGATAGCAGCCGCTAACAGGAGTGGACAGTTGCCGACGACAGCGATGACGGGACGATGAGGGCCAGCCCCCCCCTGAAATCTCTGGAGAGTCGCGTGGGCCCGGCGGGTGGAGTTGCAGGCCACTGTGGGCAAGGAAAGGTGCTTCCCCATTCTGAAGTGAGCAGGGCACCACACATTGATTCTGGGGTACGGCCAAAAATGCAGCTATTGCTCGAGGTGTCTTCAACACTCGAGCGGTTTCTGGCCTCGGTTCCTCAAGGGTTCTGTTGGTTCCCGAACATTCGTCGCAGCGTTTGCGATTTCTTGAATGTTTCAGCGGGCGCTCACTGCGACGTGGACGCCTTACCGCATTACTACGATACGAGCGCAAACAAATGCGGCAGCGACGGCAGCAGCTGAGACAATTTCGACATGTTGTAGAAGCGGCCGCAAGTTGCAGCAGACATTTGCAAGCCGCACAAGTAGAATTCCCCCACTTCCTGACCCAGTGAGACGCATGAGGCCTCACATCAGCAATATTGGTCCAGTGAAGGTGGTCGAATGAGAATCCGCCCTCTGAAATCGTCGTTAAGTCGAAGTCGAAGTCTTTTGCGCCAGCATGAACTTCGAACATCCATTATGCAGCCTGCCGCGGCGAAGTCTCACTGCGAGGAGGCGCTGGTTTGGTTGTGCAGTTTTGAGCTTGAAGCTCTGACGCACCCAGCGGTCGCCATGGTTTGTTGGATTTGGTTCGAGTCGTTTACAATCAGTTCGATTGCAACGAGTATCGTCCACGGAACCAGGGAAATATGCACGTCGACGACCCTGTATTTATGGCTAGCGATTTCGTCAAGCGCCTTGCAAGACACATTATGTTTCCAGGCCACTTTTTCAGCAAATGCAGTCGAATACCGAGCTTCACCACTCGAGTTCGAGTCCGAAGGGACCTGTCAACGCTGAGCCTGATACGCCCTCCAGGCGCTTGCATTGCTGCTGATTGCGCTCTAGAGTTAACGCTTGTCCTCTTGACCCCTCCTGCCATCCATCCTCTGCCCGCCCTCCCTCATTTCGGAAATCTCTGCATCAACATAGCTTACAGGTGGTTTGACGTATCATTAATGTCGAGAGATGTATATTCGTCCTCCTGAGCCGAGCCGTTAGTGAAGCAGCGGTAGGAGTTTATGCTCACACAGGCCACAGTAGCAGTAGCAGTAGCAGTACTAGTACTAGTATTAGTAGTAGTGATAGTCGTAGTAGTAGTAGTAATAGTAGTAGTAGTAGTAGTAGTAGTAGTAGTAGTAGTAGTAGTAGTAGTAGTAGTAGTAGTAGTAGTATTAGTAGTAGTAGTAGCAGTAGTTGTAGTTGTAGTAGCAGTAGTAGTAGTAGTAGTAGTAGTAGTAGTAGTAGTAGTAGTAGTAGTAGTAGTAGTAGTAGTAGTAGTAGTAGTAGTCAGTAGTAGTAGTAGTAGTAGTAGTAGTAGTAGTAGTAGTAGTAGTAGTAGTAGTAGTAGTAGTAGTAGTAGTAGTAGTAGTAGTAGTAGTAGTAGTAGTAGTAGTAGTAGTAGTAGTAGTAGTGGCAGTCGCAGGAGGAGTGGGAGTATGAGTATGCGTAGGAGTAGGAGTAGTAGTAGTAGTAGTAGTAGTCGTAGTAGTAGTAGTAGTAGTAGTCGTAGTAGTAGTACTACTAGTAGTAGTAGTAGTAGTAGTAGTAGTAGTAGTAGTAGTGGTAGTCGTAGTAGTAGCAACAGCAGCAGTAGCAGTAGCAGTAGCAGTAGCAGTAGTAGTAGTAGTAGTAGTAGTAGTAGTAGCCGAAGTAGGCGAAGTAGTCGCAGTAGCCATAGTAGCAGTAGTAGTAGTAGTAGTAGTAGTAGTAGTAGTGGTGGTGGTGGTGGTGGTGGTGGTGGTTGTGGTCGTGGTGGCGGTACTAGTAGTAGTAGTAGTAGTAGTAGTAGTAGTAGTAGTAGTAGTAGTAGTAGTAGTAGTAGTAGTAGTAGTAGTAGTAGTAGTAGTAGTAGTGTAGTAGTAGTAGTAGTAGTAGTAGTAGTAGTAGTAGTAGTAGTAGTAGTAGTAGTAGTAGTAGTAGTAGTAGTCAGTAGTAGTAGTAGTAGTAGTAGTAGTAGTAGTAGTAGTAGTAGTAGTAGTAGTAGTAGTAGTAGTAGTAGTAGTAGTAGTAGTAGTAGTAGTAGCAGTAGTAGTAGTTGTAGCAGTAGTACTAGTAGTGGTAGTATTAGTAGTAGTAGTAGTAATTGGCTCAAGCCTTGGCTCAAGGCCTGCGGCTCTGCGGCCGCGCGCGGCCCCTCCGCCTGCCGCCCTTCCGCCATCCTCCGGCCCAGCCTCCGCGCCCAGCGCCGCCATGGCCGCCCCTCGCCGCAGCCGCGCCTGGCTGCTCGCCCTGCTCGGCGGGCTGGGCGCCTGGGGCGGCTCGCGGGCGTTCTTGTTCGGGGACGCCGACCCAGAGCCTGGGCCCCCCGAGTCCGTCGATCGCGTCAAGGGGCTGCTGCTCAAGGCGGACGCGGTCTTCTTCGACGTGGACAGCACGGTGGTGAAGACGGAGGGCATCGACCTCATGGGCAAGTGCTTCGGGGTCATGCAAGAGATCGCCGAGCTGACCCACAAGGCCGTGGACGTGAACGTGAAGTTCCCGGACGCCATGGCCGACAGGCTGCAGCTCATGGCCGACCATGGCATGACCAGGGATGCTCTGGAGGAGTGCGTCGTCAAAGAGGGCGTTCCCCAGTGGTCGCCTTGGGTCCAGGAGATTCTGGAAGTGCTTCCTAAGGACGAGACCGGCTCCGACGCCGGCACCGACTCCAGCACCGTCGCCAGTACCGACGCCGACACCATCGCCAGCCCCGACTCCGGCTCCGACGCCAGCTGCCTCGACGCCCGCGCCAATTCAACTGACATCAATGCCGACAGCATCGACTCTGGCACCGCCGCCAGCATCGACTACAGCATCGACTACAGCATTGATCCCGAGGAACTCCACGCCGACGAGGAGGAGGAGGACCACGACGACGAGCATGAGGAGGACCTGGACGAGGCCCGAGACGAGGCCCAGTATGGGAATGAGGAGGAGGGGGACCCCGACGAATACCAGGACCAGGGCCTCCAGGAGGAGAAGGAGGAGGAGGAGGAAGAGGATGAGGCAGCCCACAAGGAAGGTCACGAGGCTTGTGATCCTTATCGCCAGGCGCCTGCACAGGACAATCCCCGATCTGTTCTCGATGACCACGGCGACCACGACTACGCCTTCGGCCACGTCAGCAATATCGACGCCAGCACCGACGCCTGCAACATCGACACCGGCACCTACTCCGGCACCAACGCCAGCAGCTGCGATGCGGGCTCAGACGTCGACGCCGACTCCGGCACAGACACCTTCAGCAGCGACGCCAGCACCGACTCCAGCACCGACGCCAGCATCTTCGACGCCAGCTCCGACGCCGGCACGGACCCCTGCACCGCCGCCAGCAGCATCGTCGCCAGTTTCGACCCTGTCACCGCGACCAGCAGCAAGGGCGCGGGCACCGACGCTGGCACCGACACTGGCACCGACGCCAGTAGGATCGACGCCGCTACCAGCTTTGGCACGAATGCCAGCAACATCGACGCCAGCACCGACGCCTGCAACATCGACACCGGCACCAACTCTAGCACCGACGCCGGCAGCTTCGACGCGGGCTCCGACGCCAGCGCCGACTCCAGCTCAGGTGCGGTTCTACCGCCGGCTCCGGCACAGGCGCTGGGCTGGCTGGCAACAAGGCCGGCGCCTACTTCAGCACCGACCCCAATCCCAACGCCCGCACATACGCCACCGACACTTTCGGCAGCGCCCGCACCAACGTCGACGCCAGCGCCGACGCCAGCACCGACGCCAGCACCAACGTCCACGCCTACGCCGCCACCATCGGCAGCGCCTACACCAGCACAGGCGCCGGAATCAATGCCTGCGACGACGACCGCACCCACGCCAGCATCTGTGACAGCACCTACGCTTGCACCAGCGCCAGCTCCAAGCTCTAGGCTCCACGGCTCTGTCGCCAGCACTGACGCCTGCACCTCCACCAGTTGCCACGGCATCGACGCCAGCACCGATGCCGTCACCTACGACAGCATCGACGTCAGCG